TTTTTATCAGCTGTTTGGACTCTCATTCTGACGGCACCCATTCACTTGCAGAGACACTGATGCAATGCTACATTTCTCCAGATCTGATGAAGAAACAAACTCATCCTGATCTCGGATGGACCGAGGGTGAAGGTATTTAAATTTTTTGGTGAACTATTCCTACATTGGAGTAAAGGAAGTTACATGAAGCTGAATAAATATGACAGAATATTCATTCTGAGTGAATAATATCTTGTTAAAGAAACATAACTTAAACATCAGTCAGACCAAGGCTGTGTCTCATTGCTAGTTTTACTACTGCTAGTTTTGATTGCATCATATAATAATTGCTGTTAATATTATTCATCGTCTGTTTTATTACGTCTTATATTGATTTTTCCGTACATTTCTGCCATATGTACATGAACTGACAGTCACCACTGATAAACTACCATTAAATATTGTAGAAACTTAGTTTGCTGTAAAGTTGCTTTGCAACGATTTGTATCGTGAAAAGTGCTGTACAAATAAACTTGAATTAAATAACTTCAAGATGCTCACAATGGAAACGTCATGTTCGGTTGAACGCTGCGTATTATCTGTGTTTGTTACCTTTTCATCACCTCATCCACGTGCTGGGACAATCTGTGAAGGTCTCTGAACGCAAACGCGCCACTCGAGCTGAAGAGCGTCTCGCTTATTGCTACATGTGACATTAACAATAACTAAACTCAACTGGAGGTCAACTAGTTAAAATTCTGCTTTATTTCCTTGAACAACTGTGCTGGAGGATAGAGCACTTTTCATAAATTACAAGACTTATAAAACTGTTGAAAGAGAAATCAGAGGAATTTTCCTGTAGGAAGGTGAAACCAGAACTGAGATCTCTTTAATAACTCAATTGTTTCTCATAGACACCAATGAAACAAAATGGAGAGGAAATGCAAGACTCTACAAATGTTTTATTTCTTTTTTTCCCCTAAATGCCTAAATGTTTTAATTGCTATGGATTTCATTTAAATAGTTAAATAAAATTTTAGTAATCAAAAAGCATGTCTAATTAGTTTAAATCACAAAACATACAAATTTTAAAATTTTAACAAAACATTAATTTTTAAATTAAATCCATAAATTTTTTTTCCTAAATTAATTTTTTTTAAATAACTTCCTCTGGATTTTCTGGACATGTCAGTAATCAAAATGCAAGTCTAATTAATTGAATTAATAATGAAGATTAACAGTTTAACAGATATATAATATATTTTCTTTTTGCCCAAATTCTATTTAATTTTTCCCCCTAAAGTCTTTTTTCTTCCATTTTTTTTAATTTTCTGGATTCTATTTTAATGGTTTAATTAAAAATGTATACTCAAAAAGCATTTGAATACATACAATTTAATAATTTTTAGAATAATGAAATTATTTCTTCAGAAATTCTGCATTGTCTGTTTTAATTTTTCTGGATTTATGATTTAATACAAATATATAATCAAAAATGATGGTAATCAAAATGAAGGCATAAAACATAACTATTTAATTAAACTTTTTTTGAACAATTTAATTAAAAAACAAAGCGCTTCACAACAGAGGTAATAATAATAATAAGAGGAAATATGGAAGAAGATTTGTAGGATATTATTATTATTGTTATTATCATCACTACTACTACTATAATTATTTTGAGAAATACATTCTACTGTAGAATAGTTAAAAACATCTGTCATAATTTCTTCAAATTAAACCAAACTTTTATTTTGGTGGGTTGTCGTGAAGATCTCTGCCGATACTTTTCCCAAATTAAACTGTGAAATGCTGATGAAGTGACTCTCAGAGCAGCTCTGGAGATTAACTTTACGTGTTATTATACATATAGCGATGGCAGACATTTCTCATAGACACTAAGGAATCGAGCTGAAGCACAATCTGACACAATGGCTCTAACAATAACACATTTAATTAATTAATTCACAGACCTTTCCTGCTCTCCATTCCGGCAGTGATGATTCCCGCTGGATACTGGGATTTGCTCTTATTCCCAAATCCTTACATGTAACTGTATATGCGTGCTGATCTTTAGAGCTTTAACGTGAAGGAGAAACACATATATCGCCCGGAGTGCGGACGTGATAATTATGCACGGAGGGAAACCTCATTACGAGCGCACAAATCCAGCCACGTCCCTCTGGATGGAGATCAGTGCTAAAGTTCACTGTGCTGCTTCAACCAATGAAGCTCATAAAGACACAGACGGAGGTCAGGCTTTACAGGAGAAATATGAGACTAAACTCGACGGCTCTGGGCTGAGCAGAGATGACTTTCACTGTTTTAGAAGAACTTCAGCTCTTCGTTCAGCGTCCATTTACATCAAATCTAGACGATCGACGTGGTCGTAATGAAGCGTTGCTGTGTTAAAGAACTGAGAGAAGTTACTGAGAGAAGTCATAACAGGACTGGAGCATCTATTAACTCTGTAAAGCCTGGCATATGAAGCAAAAGTTAGGAAAATCTATTTAAAAAATTTTTTTAATTCTAATAAATTTTGCATTTTTTATTGAGTATCATATTTGATGCATAAGGTTTTTATAGCTCATTTAGTGAGAATATAAAGTAAAAACAGCTCATTTTATTCAAAAACTGAGCAAAAATCTGAATTTGCTGCAAATGCTGATATTTATATAATGAAATTCTGCTGCTTGTAATGTAAATCAATGAGATCTTTTTAACAGTGCAGCAGATATTGACATAAAATCATCTAAACATCAGTGGTCGCTCTATATCTCCAGTAATCTGTCTCAGTAAGATGAGAGTGAAATGCTCCAAACATATAACGCAGTGATTGAGAGCTGAGGAAATAAAGGCTCCTCAGAAGATGTGAGATGTTCTGGAGGCTTGTGAAGATCATTCCTCCGCTGAGGAACAGTGAAAGTAAAGCTTCTGGAAACAAACGCTCCTCAAAAGATCCTGAGGATCAGATTTGAGACTCTAAAACATGATTGATGGAGAATCAAGTAAAGCTGAGCTGCTTCAGTCCAGTAAGAGTTCATCTGGAGATATTACTGCAGTTATTCTGACGCTTACTTGATCAAAATCAGTCAAGATTTGACACGAGAAGCTCCAGCTGAAGCTGGACACTTTGTAGAATTACGCTAAAAGAGCTTCAATCAGACGACAGAAGATATTGAGTGCAACAGCACGGTTTTGATCATCTAGAGACTTCAGAAATGAGGCTTTATAGGGCTAATGTTGACTGCACATGTAAAAGAAAACAAAAGACTGTGATTCTATGGATGCAGTTTCCTCATAGACCAGTTATGAGGTCCAGGTGAGTGTGTGTACCTGTGTTGTTGAGTCCGAACAGCAGCGGGCAGGAGATGGCGAAGGACAGGAACCAGACGACAGCGATCATCAGAGCCACGCGTCTTCTGGAGCTGTAGCGCGTGTTGTAGAGTAACGGCATGGCCACGGCTGTGTACCTGCACATCAACACACGCTTAGATCAGTGAGCAAATTACTGATGTAACAAATACAATATTACACCACAGTACTACAGTGATGACAGACAAGAAGGATAGAATGAATGGAATAATAGTTTACTACTCACTGACTAACAAGTACACTGTAAGAACTGCCTACTATTTTTGAAAAGCAGTGAAACTGTACCCATTACGCAGTAATTAACAATGCAAGCAGTAGCATTCTACATTGATGTCACATGATCTTATGTTAAATGTGAGCATCCAGTTATCAACTTGTAAAAAAAATTTATTTTGCATTCCTAATCAAATTTGGAAAATAATAATACTCCAGAAAATGTAAAAATATGCTATTTTGCATTCTTAATCAAATTAAAAAAAATTGGAAATAATAAAAAATAGAAAATATATATAGAAGAAATATAAAATGCAACACGAGCAGAATCATTTACCGAGAAGTTTGAGAAGTTTTAAAGGTCGTGACCCACCATTCAGTCTTCAGAAAGTCAAAAATGAAACCGCTTTTGAATAGGAACAAAAATACAATTGAGATGAGAAATGAATTGGTTGGTTATTATGAAGTGGACTTGAATGAGATGAGTCAGTTTTCTCTTTACCGTGTCGCGCATTTATATAACGCCAAACTCATCCACGATGCTGAGAAGCAAAGCACTTTACGTGCAGCTCGTTATGCATGCACCTCGACTTTAATGCATGCTTCCAATTTTCCAGCATGGGTTTAATGAGGAGCAGCATTCGCTAAAATTCCCCGCAAGTGTAAAAAGTGCCTCAAACACAGGATTTATAATTCATAACCTCCTCTGCCGGCATGCAATTGCCTGGAGTGCATTTAAACCGAAGATAAATTCAGGTCAAGCGAAGATCCAAAGGCAAAACAGATTAGAAAATTGCTCAAACGTTGATCAGAATCATTCTTGTTTTTATTCTGGAAAGGGATTTCATTCCCGCTGTTAGTCAGTGAGTGGACTGAGAGGTGAAAGGGCCGGATGGGTCACCTGTCGATGCTGATGGCACACAGGTTGAGGATGCTTGCGGTGCACATCATGACGTCCAGCGTGAGCAGAATGTCACAGTGGATCCGACTGAACCTCCATTCTCCCACAACCTACACACACATTTGAGGAATCAGCACAGAATCTGATCCACACGCTGACCATGAACCGGCCAATCAGACAGCAGGAGACCCTATGATTGACATCTGAAGCGACCAATCAGTTTGTTTTGTTCTTATATAAGGCCATGTGATTTCTGTGATGCAAACAGAATCATGTAATCGAGTCATAAAAGTCATAAACATGAGTCTCTCGTCAAAATAAAAGTTCGGTTTAACTTGAAGAAATTGTGACAAAAATATATTACTATTGTACAGTAGAATACTCATCTCAAATAGTAATAATAATAAAAGGAAAAACGTAATAATAAAAAACATTACAGCTTTATTTTTTTAAGGAATAGCATGCTTTCATGCCATTATATTTTTTTCTTTACATTTTAAAAGATTAATTAAAATGTTAATGTTTCATGCCTTACTTTATTACAGCCATTTTTGAATTTATGTTAAATCCAAAAAAAGGAAAACAGACCATTTCTGGAAAAAAGGGGCTTGATTGAAAATTAATAAATTGTTAAAAGTTGTATAAATTCAATACATTATTAAAATTAAATTAAACCATCAATATGGAATTGAGAAAAGTGTAAACATAAAACAGAATTTGGAAAAATATATAAATATAAAAAAATAAATTGTTGTTCAATTGCATAAGTTTCACGATTTCAATTAATTAGACATGCTTTTTGATTACAAAAATTTACCTGAAAATGGAATCCCAAAAAATTAAAGTGTAAAAAAAGAAATCCAGAAACTTTAGCCTATATAGCTTACCTTTTTTCAAATAGCTAATCCAGAAAAAAATCCAGAAAAATTAGAACTATAACAGAACTTGAGAAAAAATAAACAAATAAAACTCTCGTCAAAATAAAAGTTCGGTTTAACTTGAAGAAATTGTGACAAAAATATATTACTATTGTACAGTAGAATACTCATCTCAAATAGTAATAATAATAAAAGGAAAAAAGTAATAATAAAAAACATTACAGCTTTATTTTTTTAAGGAATAGCATGCTTTCATGCCATTATATTTTTTTCTTTACATTTTAAAAGATTAATTAAAATGTTAATGTTTCATGCCTTACTTTATTACAGCCATTTTTGAATTTATGTTAAATCCAAAAAAAGGAAAACAGACCATTTCTGGAAAAAAGGGGCTTGATTGAAAATTAATAAATTGTTAAAAGTTGTATAAATTCAATACATTATTAAAATTAAATTAAACAATCAATATGGAATTGAGAAAAGTGTAAACATAAAACAGAATTTGGAAAAATATATAAATATATAAAAATAAATTGTTGTTCAATTGTATAAGTTTCACGATTTCAATTAATTAGACATGCTTTTTGATTACAAAAATTTACCTGAAAATGAAATCCCAAAAATTAAAGTGTAAAAAAAGAAATCCAGAAACTTTAGCCTATATAGCTTACCTTTTTTCAAATAGCTAATCCAGAAAAAAATCCAGAAAAATTAGAACTATAACAGAACTTGAGAAAAAATAAACAAATAAAATTTGGGGAAAATTAAAGGGATTTCAAAGGGCCCTTAAAAATGAAAATTTTGCTTAATAAAATGGTTGTTCAATTGCATACGTTTTTGTGATTTTGTGATTAATTACACATGCTTTTGATAGCTAAAGTTTAATTTAACCATTAAAATGGAATCCAGAAAAATTGAAATGGAAAAGACAGAATTCAGAAAAAAGCAATAATAATAAAGGTAGAGGAAAAAACAGAATTTGTGTAAAATAAAATGCAATTTGGGAAAAATTCAACCATAATTTGATCCACTTGACCGCTGGGTCAAAACAACCCAATTGCTGGGTTTGTCCCTATTTTACCCAGCACTGGGTTGTATTTAACCCAGCATTTCTTAGAGTGTACAATCATCTCTCAAATATGCGTACGTGTGATTCATAGAATGAACGTACGCACAGAAAGCACACGTATATGCATCTCTTTCAGATGTAAATGATCTTGAACTTGCGTGCAACTGAATTGTTTCAGCTCTCTGAGCATACACACGCTTTATAAATGAGGCCACTGGCTTTCAGTGTATTATATCTCATTACTTTAGATTTTGCAAGCACTTCAGTGAAAGTGGCGCCCAGCGCCGGACTAATTGCATTGGTGAGCCACTCTGGTGGCATCAAGAACTTTGCTCAAGGGAACGAATGTGACGCTTCGGCGAGGTAAAGCTGGCACGACTGCAGCTGCATGCAGAAGAGTCACGCATTAGTCATGTAACGCAAGGGATTTAAATTAATAGTCTATTGAAACTACTGAATAAACACAGTCGCCTTGGAAGCCCTTGATTGCATTTGATAACAACCTGTGAAGGTTGCTCATGCACCGTTCAGCTCACAGTCCTCTAAAAACTTCAAAACTTCAAACGTTTCAAAGTAACAGCTCTTATATGCTCAGAAAATACTGCAGTGTTCAATGTACTGATGAAGTAGTGTGTTGGGGTCAATTTGATCTACATTCAAACTGTTCAAAATACTGGTTAAACAATTTATTTCTTCTTGAAATTTGGTAAATATTTTTCATTTAGAGTCATGAATGTTCATGTAAAGTTTTGACACACAGATGTGTTTTGGACAGGTTGTATACAAATTGTTACTACTTTTATGTTGTGGTCAATTTGACCCACACTCGATTTTTTTAAGTGCTCAAAATACTAGTTAAACAATTTATTTCTTCTTGAAATTTGGTGAATGTTTTTTATCTGGAGTCATGAATATGCATGCAAAATTTGGGCACATAGATGTGTTTTGGAAAGGCTGTACAAAATTTGATACAATTTTTGTGTTGGGATCAATATAATCCACACTCAATATTCAAAGTGCTCGAAATACTGGTTAAACTATCTATTTCGTCTTGAAATTTGGTGTATATTTTCTATTTAGTGTCACGAATGTGCATGCAAAGTTTCGATACATTGATGCGTTTTGGAGAGGTTGTGCAAAAACTTGTTACAACTTTTGTGTTGGGGTCAAACGGAGCCCCATTTAGTTTCTATGCAATTATCCAAAAATCAACACGTTGAAAAACACTAAAGAGTGTAAAGTGAATGTTGTAGCTTGTCAAACACTAAAAATGAAATACATTAGAACTTATTAACTTTAGTTAAATACTCAATTTTACTCGAAGATTAGATGACTCTTCTCATTTATTCAAGGAAAACAAAACAACCCCATAAAGCTGCAGTCTCTGAATGTAAAGCTTCAAATTAACACAATCAACTGTAACTGCGCTCCACTGATTGGTTTTGAAGAAGTGTAAATCATTGGACACTGAGCTTATGGGTGTATTTACCAATCGGCGGGAAAGGCTGAGCGAAACAAACGTGTTAACAACATTAAAGTGAACACGTGCATGCATTTCAGCACATGCATCAACCTTCAATGCATACTACATGATACTATACATAATAACAGTTATTAGTACTAATAGTAAGAGCGGTATGCTTAAGTTATGCAGCACATGTTCATCAAAACATTAAGATGTCAACGTTTCTGAGGGCAACAGTTCATTTAAACTAATTATGCAAATGAGGCTGCAGCTATGCTCCGACCCTGATTAAAGGAAAAGCGGCACTCTTTCCAAAGGGATTCGGATCTCATCCTCGCGCCCGTTAATCAGGAATCACTCAAGACAATACGCACTGATGAGAGCCCTCGTATCTGTATTAAATCTGAGCGCTGGTGAATCTGTCATTACTGAGACACAAACACTGATGAGAAAATGATGCCTGTGTGATAATTAAGTATTAGCTAATGAATGTATGCGCGCCACAAAAATGAATAGGTCTGCGTGCATTCGATTCTGCAGTGGAATAATTGTTTCCTAGTCTAATAATCACCTCCATCTCCTGAAATGTATTGCAGTTGATGATCAGCTTTAATCACTATGTCTCCACTGTCTCACAGCCGTCTCATGAAAACATGTCACACTGCAGTGAATGGGTGCCGTCAGAATGAGAGTCTGATAAAAACATCACAATAATCCACAGCACTCCAGTCCATCAGTTAACATCTGGAGAAGACAAAAGCTGAAACAAACCCAGCATTAAGATGTTTTTAACTCAAATACATTGAGTCCATAATCCA